TTAAAATCAAATCCTGGGTTCTTCAGTCATTTATTGTTCATTTATCAATTAAAAAAACGTTTCGGTGTTTTCCACCATCATCAGTTTCAATGTGTAGCGTTGTTGCTACTTTAGGCAACAACGCTACACATTGAAACTGATGATGGTGGAAAACACCGAAACGTTTTTTTAATTGATAAATGAACAATAAATGACTGAAGAACCCAGGATTTGATTTTAATTTGGAATTGAAACACAGTCAGAAAAGTACGTACAATGAAAAAATTACAGAAAATGTGTTTTCTTTATAGTCGAGTGTCTGATATACTGGAGAGATCCGAAAAAATCCGTACCCGTTTTCGGAGGAGTTCTCTTGGTGTTATTGGCTCTCACATACGTATCTCTCATCAGTGTGGTTGCCTACGCCTCTTTGCTCGCTCTAACTGGCACCGTAGCGTTTAGGATCTACAAGAACATCATTCAAGCAGTTCAAAAAACTGGCGATGGCCATCCATTCAAGTAAGTGTCTATCCAGCGCTGTAGACTTTCAGATAGAAGCAACAGCTATGGCCAAACAATATGATTTGAAATTATGCGTGGTGTAAAAATGCAAAAGTCGTTGCTTGTTTTTGAAAAACAATGTCTGTGGCAACCTTCCAGCTGACCTTTTTTTGCCCAGAGCATTTAATTGTGTGTACAATTTTAGGGAATACCTGGACATGGACGTTTCGTTGTCCCCGCAAAAAGCCCAAGAAGTTTCTCAAATTGCGGTCGCGCACGTAAATGCTGCCATCAGCGAGCTTAGGAGGCTCTTTCTAGTCGAGGATTTGGTAGACTCTTTCAAGTTTGGGGTGTTCTTATGGGTGCTCACTTACTTGGGCTCATGGTTCAATGGCATGACTTTGGTGATTATCGGTAAGTTTGTGCATATCTATTTGTGTGCAGATCGGTTCTTTTTGAAAGTTGCATAAAAGTAGTAGTAAATAGTACATGAAAAGATAGTTGTGTTTTAAAATCAAGTGTTTTTAGTTTTTTTTTTTTTTACTTTAAACAGTAATGTCTCCAGGAGCCATTCTACAATAATCATTCAGTAATTATTTGAGAAATACTTGTCACAGAACATACCCGGTGGAAGTGGCAACTTACTCCTACAGTTTATTCGATATTTTGCTCAAATTTTGAACGTGGCCTACTGGGCATATCCCCCGTTTTGCCCCCGAACTTTTTTGTGGTGCGCCACTGACCTTAACTGAACAAATTTTTGAATTTGATGTCCAATTTAAGAGTTTTATTTTCTCTTGCCGTTTTTTCGTATCTGCCGTCTTTTTCGAGTTATTTGTACAATTTTCCTATACATTTTTTTGTGTCCTTTTGTTCACATTTTGTTTTGTGAAAGCTTGAAGTGCAAGTTGAAGTTAAAATAGGGATTAAAGTTGATTTTTTTACTTTAATATTTAATTTACAATGAGTGGGGATTATCGGCTTTAAGCTAATCCAAATAAAAATTCCCAAAAATGTAACGGATATTTCAATTTATTATGCAATTAATTTCATAAAATTAAAAAGTAAATTTTTTATTCCATAAATTAAAGGTGCTGTTCAAAATGACCTCCGCTTCCCCACTTCTTGGGCGGTTACTCTCCTCCTACTTGCTCATTGAATGAGAATTGTCGAGCCATTTTTATTAAATAGCGAGATGGTTGATTTTCTTGGGAATTCGGTCTGGGCAGTGGTGGAGAAAAAGAAAAACTTTTTAGCTACCCAGCTTTCGGCACTTTATTGACGCCTTCCTCAGGGCTGGAAGAGTTAAAAGAAAACAAAATTCCTAACTTTGACAACAAATTCAAAAATTTGTTCGATCGAAGTCAGTGGCGTACCACAAACAACTTCGCGGGTTAAAAGGATGACACTAGAAAAAAAACTCTGTAGATTTTTTCAACCAGTGAATTTTCATGGTGATTTATTAATAGATTTGAAAAATATTTATTGCTTACTTTTGATACAGCGTGGGTCACATTGTTCACCCTGCCGAAGGTTTATGAGGCAAATCAAGTCCAAATTGATACCAATCTCGAAATAGTACGAATAAAAATTGCTGAAATTACTACCAAGTGAGTATTGGTGCTGTTTTTATACAGATTTATTCAACAGTATCTACTCATTTACGTTTTCACTCAACTTTTAAAACAATGTTTCAGAGTGAAAGCGGCGATTCCAATTGGAAAGAAGGGCGAGAAAGTGGAGTAAATCGACAGTTTTCTAACATCTATAGCTGCATTATTGTACGTTAATTAAGACAAAAGAAACATATGCCAAACAAAAACATCCGGATGTTATTGTTTGGAGCAAACATTCAAGATGTACCTATCTATCATCAGTTCAGGTAGCCCACTAGTCATGTGGCTTGGTAGATTTAATGGCGTTTGAAAATTTCGATATACTTTAGAGATTAATTATAATTATTGTAATGCAAGAATATTGATAGATGTTTAATGGGACATAACCGTAATGCATGTGCTGTTGATATTATTAGTGTTATACTCTCTTACGAGGTTATTTGTGCAAGTTTGTTGCCGTTTTTTTGTTAATGTACAGCCATAAGCTTTTGCGAAATCACTTTAAACCTTCTGCTTAAGAGGTGTATGTATGTACATGATTTCTTGCATTGCATTGTTAAGTATACATAAACTATTGGCAAAGCCTTAGAATTAACGTTAACAATAAAATGCTTTATTATGTGTTTTAATTATATCGGCAACTCCACTCCGTATAGAGTGGAATTGTTAATTTTATTAAAGATGATATTACTTGGCTTCTCTGATATGCACTGTTCAACACCTTTCATCATCCATGTTAGATTAAATCTGTGTTCGCAATAGTACCTATCTTACTGTTAATGAGCTGAGATATTTATAGATGTCATAATGTTTAAAACATTCTCCGTTTTGTCTCCAGTTAATTATGTTTTTGGCAATAGCGAATTAAAGTCTTTTTAATCATAAATTAATATTTGTATTCGAATGGAAACTACAAGCCAATTGGCAGTTATTTCTCAGTCAAAACCTTCTACCTACTATTCTTCCAGGGTTGTCAGCCAATAACTTGTAGTTTTTCAGTCTTCTCATTGTCGAAGACAAGAATATCAAATGTGTTTTTACTTACCTTGAACAACTGAATATCCTACCTGTTTTGTCCTAAGTTGACCAACAATAAAAGTTTCTCCCGTCTGCCACGTCCAAATATATAGATAGAACTAATTGGTCACTACTTTATTCACGCGTTATATGCGTAATCGACTTTTCATCAGCAACGTTTAATTAAATTAGAGCCTATACTAGGAATACAAATCTCGTATTTACAGC